TTCACTCAATTTTTAAGGGATATTTTCTCCAGATATAGAATTCTGATTATTTTTTTCCCCATCCCTTTTACATACATTTCCATTGTCTTCTGACAGCCACTATTTCTGATGAGAACTCAGCAAACATTCTTATTGTTAATTTTAGTATTATGTGACTTCTTCCTCTTCTGGCAATTTTCAACAATGCTTCAGTGTAGCTTTCTTGATATTTACCTTTCATTGAATTCAGTGTTTTTCTTGGATTTTTAAATCAACACTTCTCATCAAATTTGGGGAAATTTGGCATGTTTAATTATATATTTGTTTCCACCCCATTCCTCTAACACGTATGTTAAACGAGTTGATATTAATTTGTCCCTGAGGTTCTGCTCCTGCACCTTTCCTTTACCTCTCCCATCTGTTTCGAAGCCCATCCAGTGAGTTTTTCACTTCAGTTACAGTACTTCCCTGTTTGGTTTTTGTTACGGTTTTCATTTCTCAAATGCCTAATCTGTTGGCTCAGTCAGACTATATTTTATTTTAACTCTATGAATATATATTGTACTTACCTGTTTTAGAGTCTTTGCTAATTCCAACTTCTGAGTCACATCACATTCTGCTTCTGTTTACTATTGCCTTTTTTATTGCCTATGGATCTATTTTCCCGTATCTTTCAGGGTCTGGTAATGTTTTAATTGTGTACTGGACATTGAGAGTGATATGTTATAGTGATTCTGGATTCTGTTTTCACTCTGAAGGGTATTGGTTCTTTTTCTGGTAGGCAGTTCAATTAGCCAGTAATTGTGGCTATACCTTTAAATTGTGTAGGTCTGATTTTATGTTTCAATATGGAGGATATGTGGAAACCCAAGATGTTTCCCAAGCTAACTTGGCAGAATCCAACCTCCAATATCTATCTCCCCCGCATATTTTGTCAGGGTTTGGTTTTAGGCTTTGTTAGAGTGAATGGAGAGCAGAGGTGTTCAACTGGTGATGATTTTCTCTCCGGTGACATTTGGTTAACATCTGAAGATGTTCTGGGTTGCCAGAACAGAAAATAAATGGGGAGCTACTGGCATTTAGAAGGTAGAGGCCAGGAATGATGCTAAACATCCCACAATACACAAAACATATCTACACAACAAAAATTACCTGGCCCACCATATCAATAGTGCCAAGACTGAAAAACTCTTTTCTAATTTCGGCCTTACTTGGTGGCATAGTCCCTACTTCTGCCTGCAAGATTAACAAGGTATTAATGAGGACCTCTAGTAATTTTCATCATTACTTGATGTCTAATGTCTCTGGTAAGTTCCTTTCTGAGTGAGCCTAATATAGTCATGTTCTGAGGATACTATTTCTGACAAGAGGATTTGAGCAACACATTGCAAAGAAAGGAGCAGAGTTTGTGGCCATTTTTACAACATATCCACCTCTGCTTTTAATGCTAATAATTTTTAGTTTTTCAATGTAAATCTTTACTTTTTGAATTCATTGAGCTTAAGTGTGGAATTGGTAAAAGTATATCATATTTCTATTATGATGTATATTTGATGTTTGTGACTTTGTTGAAAATCAGATTCTTAAATTCAAAAGATAGCTTAATCTGATGATACGAAAATGTATACATACTAGCCATATGCCTGAAAAATTACCTATATGATTAGGAATTAGCTTATGTATATGGATGTGAATATTTCTATTAGCATGGAAACCTGACCCTTTGCATTACATTTCATTAACATCTTTATAGTTTCATCCACACTATGGGTCTATCTTAATAGGGAATTTAAAGACAGCACCTTATAATCCAGGAGCCAATATATAAATAATGAATATAGTGAAAGGCTGAAGACATAAACATCAAAACTTCCCAAAGAAGCTTTATGATGAGATATACCACCTACTGGAATCAGAGCATATCAGAGCCCATTATAAGTACTTTTTGTCTCAAGTTCCATATGGCCTTGTTGTTTTATACCTCAGAGCCTGCTCTACCCTGTTGCCTTGTCAGTTCTTCCTCCTTCCCAAGACAAAATTCCAGGGCTCAACTCAGATTCAGTAATACAAGATACTGCTTTCATCAATGCACTGCCCTAACCCATGAAGTGAGCTCTCTTTTCTCTCCCCCTCTCTACATTTTCACAATGTAATACATAATTAAAACTATTGTCCTCACTCTAGAAACTATACTTCCTTACTTGGTTTGGAATCTTCTACCCTATCTAGTAAAACACAAGTATTGTGGTAAATTAGAAAATCAAGACATTCTGATATGAATACATAAAGAATAACAGTATACTGAGTCAAGTATTTGGCATAAACAATATCAAAGTCATAACTAAATACTAATTTATTAATTGCATTAATTTGACTTTTGTGTCTTTACCATGGTGTTTTTCCCTTTTCTGAGTAGACAACAGAATTGTGTATCACTTGACTTTCCATGGGTATTCAATATTGTGGCTTTTTGTTTCTCTTGTAAACGCAGGGAAAATAAAGTCAATTAGGTTCTCATTTGCTTTGTTCATTGTAAGACAAAAATAGCAGTTTCTGTTTGATGATTAGAATAATGGCCAAGGCTAGAAATATGGATGGCAAGTTGAATAATCATAATCTTGCCATAATCTTGAATAATCATAATCTTACTCAACAAAAGAGAACTGGCTACATCAAAAATAAACATAAATATCATAAAAGTAATCTTTGAAACCAAGTGAACATGTAACAAAACCATTTTGAAAAAAATAACATTCTCTTGGTATTTGTCATTTCCATGCCTATCCCATTCGATAGCTGCAGAAGAACCCCTTTAATGACCAAGAGCAATATATTATTTTTTTTAAGATTTATTTCTTTATTTACAGGGAAAGAGAGAGAGAGTTCAGTGGGGAGGGGGAAAGGGAGAGGGAGAGAGAAACTCAAGCAGACTCTGTGCTGAGTGCAGAGCCCCACAAGGGACTTAATCTCATAACCCTGAGATCATGATGACCATGACCTGAGCCAAAAATCAAGAGCTGAATATTTAACCAACTGTCCACCCAGGGACCCCACAGCAATATGTTATTCTTTAAGCTACCACTTATTTTAATGATAAAATTATGTGTATTTAAATAAATCATGAGTAATTATTATAAAGAAAATATGGCATCTTGTAACTAAATATCTTTAATATCTAACTTCTGCTTATTTTATTCTTTCCAATTACCACACTATGTTATGATTTTAAATGAAATCTGTTTTCTTTAAAAATATTATAAAATTAAAAAACAAAAAAACAAAAAAATAAATAAATAAATAAATAAATAAAAAACAAAAAATATTATAAAATTAGTACTTGTAGAGTTCATATTGATTATCCAGTTACTTTTATTGATCTTACAGGCAGAATAGTATCTTGATCTATCACATTCAACAACACCAAAATATATACAACTCTGGTGTCAATATCAATAATCACTAAAAATCAAGCAAACATTTACAACTATGTGCAATTAAGGGAAATTGATTCAAAAGGCATGTAATTGTAGTAACAATAAAATAGCATTTATATATTAAGACATACATAGTCAACCTAAATTTAGTACCTCAGGCATGTTTATAATTTTGATATTTATACAAACTTTGGAAACTGAGGAGTACACTGGCCAGTCACCAATGATCATGGGGGAAAAAAAAAAAATAGACAAAAGTGCTTATTTTGCTAACAGTATATGTTTAGCTCTTTAGCCTGACATTGTGTGATATTGTTATCCCTTCCCAAGCATTAGAAATCAATACTACATGTGCCTCAAGCTTTTTTACAGATGAATGATCTGATCAAGATGCCCTCATTTCAGAAACTAAGGTCATTAATGTTTATCTTCACTTGAGCCATTTTAGAAGGCTTGCTGAACCTAATGCCCAGTCTCAGACTACTGTATAAACAGCGACATCTAGTGGGCATTATGATCCCAAACATTTTATAAGTCCAAACCAAGGGTATCCACGAAACAAGTGAAATCACTAGGATGCATCACCTTTAATATTAACACAAGAATATTTCCAATGAAACTATATCAGAAAATTACACTTCCCAGTAGACTTTCTCTGACTTAGTAATAAAATAAATTTAAGAAAAGCCAGCACTGGGTTTCTAATCTTTGTTCTTAACCAACTACCTTTACATAGGTAAGTGTCCTTTGTAGATTTTTATAAAAATCCAATTTCATTCTCTTCATGTCTGAATTCTTGCTTCTAATAGGGTTATATAAACATCTCTGAAACATGATGAACTACTAAACAATCAGTTTTGTGGCTCTTTTAGGAATATGAACTGGAATGTCCCAGCAATAAATAAATCCAGCCAGTCTCGATGACAATGCACTGAGGGGCAATATTAAGATATTAGAAAAGCTGCCAGTCTGTTAGTTATTGTTGTGTTGAGTTTACACTGAGATGTTATTAATTTTTGTAAACAAGGAATATCCACTTCAAGACTCTCTAAAATAACTGATTCATGAAATGGAATTATAGACTCATTTTACCATCCAAAAGTCATTTCCTAAGTATGACTGTTTCCTGTTAATGAAAAAGTCAGTACATTCTTTGCCTGTTTTGCAGAGCCAATCTGAGGCAATCCAAAAAACTTTTGTTGTTTGCTGGAACCTTAGCTCATCATTCTCTATACATACTTCCAGCCAGAGGTCTAAAACTATCCCCCAACTCCCTTCAGGCCAGCTCCAGGGAATCTGTATCCTCCTGTCACCATGAAAATTTTTCCTGAGCACAAACTGTGTATGATGCAATTCCATGGTTGTTCATGGGACACCCTGGGATTGTCCCTTCCAGATGGACTGAGGTACCCCCGAAACACCTAAACATACATAAATGAATATAAGTGGACTTCACTATGAACTTATTTCATTTCCCCAAATTAATTTCCATGGACTAAGACTAGACCTTTATCCTTCTCTTTCTCTTTAAACTTTTAAGACTTTGTTAAGGACAATAAACAGATGCAAGGTCTAGACCACAGTTGTTTTTTTTTTTTAACACACCAGCCTCTTCAAACACAGAATGGGCATATTTAATCCTTCCAGATCATTAAACTATCCACGACCCAGCCACATGCCATGTTGGTGATTAGCTGAGACATTCACCTGACTTCCATTTGTGTGCTAAAAAGGGCTATATAAGCTCAGACCCCCAGTGACTGGACAAAAAGTCCAAAGGAGGGATATCTCACAGGCATCATCCAACTGTGAGGAAAAGAAAGGAACCATTTTATAGCACTTAAGATTTTCATGTAAATGCTAGGCAGACACGTTCCAGTGGTCATTTCATACCCAAGTATATAAGCAGTTAATCTTATTAAAACAATGAGTGTGATTCATATGCATTTAAAATTAATACTAAGGTCAGAGGAGGTACTGTTAGCGTAAAGCCCAGAATTTTCTCCAGCCCACTCCCACCAGTAACTCCCTAGTGCTCTTCCCAAGGTCTTAAGTATAGGAGGATATGTGGGCAGGGGCCACAAGAAGTCTAATGTTTACTAAGGGGACAGGCAGCCACTGAGTGGCATTGGTGGCACCTGGAGGTTGCCCTTTACTGCTCTTCACTATATAGACTTCCTTTTCCCTCTTTTCCCTCTCTCTGTTCCCTTTGTCTCTCTTATTTCTGCCTGAATCTAACAGTGATCATGTGAAGCACTGTTGTGCCCTGCTGCTGTCTGAACCCAGCTTGTAAAACAAAGATGATTTCTGAATTTCAGTGGAAAATGTTGTTAACTGCTCTACATTCAAAACATCCAGTTCACCTCAGATGAAGAGCTATGGACAATCACAGATTATTACTGTCTGCTCCTAGTAAGAACCTCCTCCCAAAAAGTAATTCAGAACTTGAACTTGCATTCTGAGTTAAAGGTTAATACTCTATCGGCATTTACATATCTTGACCTTGCACATGTTTTAAGGATGGATTAGTTCAGATTTGCAAGTAAGTAATCTCAAAGTCACCAGTCCACAAAAACATTTTCATCACCTCCTCTCCCCACAAAACTACCCAAAGAGTAAAGTAAATTATACTTTTTACTAATGGCCCAGGGTCATTCTTCACTGGGCCTGGAAGAGTATATAAGAGTCTAGTTGAATGGTTGGATGAGTCACCACCACTAGATCTCTACAAGCCTAGAAATAATTTGGTCGGGGTCTAAGTGCTAATATCATGCTGCCAAGTCTCTTTCTGAAAAGCATAAAAGCAAAATATCCCATTCCTGCAAGCAAACCAACCACAAGGGTAGTGCCAAGAACCTTTGGGGCCCTTTTCTTGGCCACCCGGAATGCTGTTGGCAACACTGCGGAGATTAATATATTGTTGACATGTCCTAACACCTTGTTAAATGTTTTTCTCTTCAAGACACGTTCATAATAGGTTTCCAAGTTTGGTCGCTTTCCATTTCCCCAGTTTCTCCTCGCAAACCCCAGGAACTTCAGTCGATGTAATGTGACAGCAAGAGAAACATCTGCCAGGGTGAAGGATTCTCCGCAGAGCCAAGGCTGGCGGCCCTCTTCTAATCAGAGAGAGGGACACAGAGAATTAGGGGCAAGCGCTATACAGATAGATGAGCTGGCATCTTTTGTCTCAGTCTTGGGGGCGAGTGTGAGTACAGCAAAAGATGAAGGCCATGGGACATTCTCTTGACAATCCTACTCAGTGAATAATTCTAACCTAAGACAAAGTCCATGCCAGTGTATCCCAAGCGAAGAGAGATTTCTTGGTATCTGTCAACCACCTACATCCCTGAGTGAAACAGGAGCCATCTGAGCTCAGAGCTGATCTTTGATATTGAAAAGGATTCTAAGGAGCCGAGAGCCTCCAAACCAAAGGAGTCAACAGATCTTTCCTCCTGGCTTAGGAAAACAGCAGGTGAGCTTTAGGAAGATCTGTAAAATTGGGCCTAAAATGTCACTCAGTGATTGTTGCTCCTAGTTACTTATGTAAAGCAGAAGAAAGTTCCTATTGTGAAGCAAGCTTCATGTAACATGGTCTTCCACTTTGTCGCCAATTAGAATAGCGCAACTGGTCCATGGGCATGCACCTGGGCAATGGCAGGATCGTGCAGTTAGGTTCACAGGTACAATACAGGGACGCTCACCAGCCAGCCTGCAGATTTCTACAGGCCATCTCCCATTTTATACTTCAGACTGGAAGTACTCTCCCTGCCTAGGGAAAAAACTAGATAGTGCTTTCAAGCAATTACTCTGGTTATTCAACCAAATGAACTACTGTAATTAAAAAATGTGTCAAATGGTCTAAGTAGGAATCTCTCAACCATAACTTTAAATGGTGTGGAAAAATCCTCTACCAGTCACATTTCTCATAGACACAGACTGGTTATCATTAGACATCTGGGTTTTGCTGAGTTCAGTATTATTATTATTGTCAGGATAATTTAAACTGCCCATGAGTAAAAATAATAAGAAAAAACAGACTACAGAATGTTTCTGGTAAAATCTAAGAGTATTCCCATAAATATGCCTGGCATCCAGCAAAAAGAAAAACAAAAACAAAAACAAATGAGAACCTACCTGGGGTTTCTTCATTTCTTCTTTGCAACTCGGTTTCAACCTGATCCAAGACTTTCTCCAATTCATCAAGAATTTTCTTCAAATATTTGACATTGTCATGGTCAAGCAGCTTTGACTAATTAGCAAAAATAACTAAATAGGTTATTTATGCCTGCAAAAAAACAATCAATACAGAGCAAAGCAGACATAAACTCTTCTAAAGCTGGAGACTATTAATCCATGACAATGAGGAGATCCAGAATAATGTTAAAGCCAAAGCAAACCTGAGGGAAAATGCTCTGGCTGTGAGAATACTCCATGGGCCAGACCCACTGGTCTACCGGGAACTCCTGTAGGACCAGATGACTAGACATGGCCAAGAATACAAGGGACACAAAGAGACTCCTCTCAACCCCCAAGGAATGAATGGAACTTCAGCAACTTTCAAGGAATGAAAAACTGAAGGGTCAGGCCTGAGGGAGAAATTTGAATGCAGTGAGTTAAAGACCAAGAGGAAAGTAAGGAGTGCTGTGTGTCCAGGCGTTTCTTTTGAGCAGCACACTTAGCTAAGATAAGATAAAGGAAAATGGGAAGTTGAAGAGGGTGGGGAGTGTTGGTGTTTGGTACATTTTTAATATGGCAGAAGCTTGCATGAGTTCGTAGGCCCTGAGGAAAGAAGCACCAGAAAGAGAAAGGCTGACTGTAACAGATGAAGCAAAGCCCTGCTCCTTAGGCGGCAGGCAAGTCAGAGTGAATTAACTCAAAATGGATTAAAGACTGGAACATAACACCTAAAACCATAAAGCTCCTAAAAGAAAACAGAAGTGGTAAGCTTCATGACATAGGTCTTGGCAATAATTTTTTGAATCTGACACCAAAAACAAAAACAAAAATAAGCAAGCGGGACTACGTCAAACTAAAAAGTTTCTGCACAACAGAGGAAACCAAAAACAAAATGAAAAGGCAGCCTATTAAATAGGAGAAAATATTTGCAAATTATGTATCTGATAAGGGGCTAACATCCAAAATATAGAAAGAACTCCTACAACACAATAGCAAAAAATAATCTGATTTTAAAATGTGCAGAGGATCTGAATTGAAGACATAAAGAAGACATATAAGTGGCCAACAGGTACATAAAAGCATGCTCACCATCATTCATCATCAGGGAAATGCAAGTCAAATCCACAGTAAGATATCACCTCACAGCCGTTAGAATGGCTATTATCAAAAAGGCATGAAATAAGTACTGGCAAAGATGTGGAGAAAAGGAAATAATCATGCACTAGTGATGGGTATATAGACTGGTGCAGCAACTATGGAAAACAATACAGAGGTTCCTCAAAAAAATTACAAATAGAACCACCATGTGATCCAGCAATTCCACGTCTGGGTATTTATCCAAAGAAAACAAAAACACTAATTCAAAAATATATATGCACTCCCATGTTCATTGCAGTTTCATTTACAATATCCAAGAAACAACCTAAGAGTCCAGTGATAGATGAATGAAGAGATGTGGTATATATACACAATGGACTAATATTCAGCCATAAAAAATAATGAAGTTTTACCATTTGCACCAACATACATAGACCTCGAGGGAATGATGCTAAGTGAAATGGGTCAGACAACGATATATCCTATAGGATCTCTCTTACACGTGGACTCTAAAAACAACAACAACAAAACAAAAACTGAGCTCATAGAGAACAGATTAGTGGTTGGAGGTGGAGGAAATGGGTGAACGGTAAGAAGAAAAAAATGAGAGAAAGGAGGGGAGTATAATAGAAGAACAAACTTGCCAATTGCCCCATTGGTATTAAAGTCCTAAAGGTCTAGCTAGGCCTTAAAGTGGCAGACTACCTGAAATGACAGATTTCTAGTATATTTTATGAACTTGCTTTTTCATTTTATAACTTTCCTTGACAATCAGCATGAGAAATACCTGCCTTTTAAGCAACTGTCATTAGGTTTGAATATTAAATCTAATTAAGAAAAATTCTTTCTAAAAGCAGAGTGTAAGCCAAAGGTAACATGCACTGGTGATTTGCAAATATTTAAAAGGACATGTTCTAGAAATAATGAGACTTTACAAAAAGTAGAACATTTAATACAAAAAGTGAATGTCAATTGAGAACAGCCTGGTTTACTTACTTTAAGTCGCTTCTGTTTTGCGATGTATGCCTCTTGTAAGTCTGGGTTTTCTTCAGCAAGCTTTTTCAATTCCGATTCTGTGTTACCAATTTGGCCTGATAATAAAATCATTTGTGAAATAGGAAATTATTTCCTCCCTTCTATACAAGAAAAAAGGAGAAGCTAGGAAACTTCATGGTAAGAGCATGAGCTCTGGGGTTCATGCCCTGACTCTGCCTTAGACTTAACCTCTCTGTGCCTCAGTTTCCTCAGATTCAAAATGGAACTATCAGAGTATCGGCTACATAGGCTAAGGATTAAATGTGAGGCACCCAGGAAAGCCCTTAGAGAGAGGCTCAGAAGATCAGAAGTGCTCAGTGCACAGTAGTTGTTCTACCTTTCAGTACGTTTCAAGTTTTTGTTAATGGACTTCTATATGAAGACAAGGAAAAAAGCCTTATTAAAAAAATATATATATTAACTCCAGGTGATAGAATTATATTCAGACCACCTGTTTCAAATCATATGAGTACTTATGCAGAGAAGGAGGAGGAACAAGAAGATAAAACAGGAAAAGGAGAAGGAAGGAGGGAATGGAAGAGGAGAGAAGTATCAAAAGGAAAGAAAAATAACATAAGTTAGAGAATTATAAAGATGAGATATGATGTAATGGAAAAAATGTAATTTCTAGAATCAGAAGACCTAGAATCAGAAGACCTGTTGAGCTCGTCAAACATCCCCAGAGTCTGACCATGGCCACCTTCCCTTACTGTCCTATCCCAATCACATGTGCCATAGAGCACAGTTTCTCTTCCACATCCCATGCACTGACCGTACTCAGCAAAGGGGAGAGCTGGATATCACAACTCAATCTTAATAAATCTCAAATCACTCAATTTAGAGGTAGACTAATGGTTAGACAGCCTGTAGTCCAGCTCCCTCACATAATGAAACAAAAATTAAGGACCAGAAATGTGAACTCAGTTGCCCATAACCACCATCAGATTCCAGATTTCATGATTCTTAGTCCATCTCTACAAAAACATGTTATGTTCTTTACTTTTCCACAGGCTACTCTTCTGAATTTTACCCAAGCTTGGCCCTCAAGGCTAAGAGCTGGAAAATCAGCTCCTACAGACCATAAATGTCCGGCTGAACAGCTGAAGCACAGATTAATCTGACTGGTGCATGGATCGACCTGTAACATGAATATCCATGAAGAAACTCAACAACCCTGTCCCCAAGTCTTCACGAGACATGCCCGGTCTCAAAAATGAACTAGAAGAACTTTGAAACTAAATTCCAAGCTTTTAAGATTGTTACATACTGCGAATCCGTGTGGTTGCATAAGCTGGGATCATGGAGTCCACAGTTAGCTCAGGATGTAAAATGCAGCCATGGGTATAAGCATCCATTGGCAATGAGTCAAGCAGTTCTCGATAATGTTGTACCCGTGGGTAATACATGCTTCCTTTATCAGGCATTAACCTGGGTGTTTTTTCTAAAAAACATACACATAAACATTAAAGAAAAAGTTACAAATCAGAGGTTACATCCAAAAGCAAAATCAAAAACCCAAACCCCTTTAGCAGTGTTTTCAATGTTACATCAAGGCATTTAAAAGATGATATCTCCCCAGCCCAGACATGCAAAATTTGAAATGGACTGATGTACCAGACTAGATCCCACATAATGATCACACTGAAATTCCCTCACTTCTCTACCTTACAAATTGCTATTCTACCCACAAGGCCCAGTTATTTATGTCAACTCCTCTATGGGACATTCCCTAACCTCCTAAAACTACCAATAACTGATTGGGTCAGGTGTGCCTTCCTCTGTACATGGAAAATACCTTTGTAGATACACCATCAGAACCTTATCACCTTAATTGGTTGTCTGTATCGTTTTGCCCTATGAGCTTCTTCAGGGCAGGGAGTCTGTGATTCACTGTCTCTCATAATGTCTCATACATATTAGGCCATTGATAAACATTGGTTAGGTGAATGAAAAACTCATTATGAAAAGATAATCAGAAACCACTCTTTCTAGGTTCTAATTAACACCAAGAGTGACCCTTTTGATGCTATGTGAATGTGCACTGAGAGTCTTCACAGAATTCACCATGAATTTCTAATATTTTTTATCTAGAAAGTGGATTCTACATAAATCCTCAATTTGCTGGTTAAACCCTAGACTCCAGACTACTTGACGGTAGGGACCATGCACTGTTCTCTGTTGACTTCCCAATGCCTAATATAATATTTGGCTCACAGCAGGTGTTCAATAAATTTCAATTAATTAATATATTCCCAAATTTCTAGTTGTCATAGAATATTTGAGCTGGAGGAGCTCTGTAGCAGTTAACAAGGACAATGAGATATAAAGGCTGAAGTATTACCCCAAGATCACAAAGCTAATTAAAAGCAGAATAAGAACTAAAGCCATTGATTCTTAATACTATGCCCTGCTTTATAACATCATCTTCAAGGGGTTTACATTTCAGAGACTATCCAAGAAGAATAAAGATGAACCACATGATCCAAAGATCAGGACTATGTCCCTTCAGAAACACTTCCTACTTCTGACTCTCCAACTACCCCTGAAAAATGCCAATGAGCTTATTCCAACAAATGAAAAGAACCGACTCAATTTTATTCATTTATTTCTTAGTTTGGGCTATTTAATTTAGAATCCTTTTGAGCATCCCACACTCATTCATAAGTGCTGACAATTAAGAATTGGTTGCAGAGCATTTCAGACAAGATCTTGTAATGCCATAATCCAAGTGGAACAAGCTCTCTAAGCAAACAGACTATTTCTGACTGTAAGAAAAAATAAGATGGATTACTCCTCAAACCTGTGGGCAAATTTCTAATTCCCTGCTAGAGAGTCCAATTCTGAAGTCCGCATTGGAATAACCAGGAATGAAGTGTCAGCCACATACTGCTTGTCAACAGTGGATTTACCCAACTACAGCACACTTCCTTGCAGATCTTTCAGGATCTCAATATATCAGTAGGATCCCAACCAATGCCTGGTAGACATGTCCATAAGGACAACAGACTGAAGTCCTTCTAAAGTCCTTGAAACACTGAAGAGTTCTTAACTTTTTGTGTGCCACAGACCTCTTCTCAAAATAATATTCTTAAACATACAACACATAGGATTGCAACAGAAACTGAATATACTGAAATACACTTACCAAATTTTAAATTATAAAATATTAAAATGGGTGCCTTTTATTAGTACATTAACAAGATCTAGCAGCAGGTCTAATAATTACCATAATTTCAAAGTGGCTATAAGCATAAGTTATTTTTAAGATAACTGCAGTAACCTGATATGCTAAGAACATATCTGTGATTTCTATTGGTAACAAAGTCACAGGTACTCCTCATATTGTAGGTTTATGCCTACATTGGAAATGAAAGGAATTGATAAGTTTCTGTTAGAAATTAGTGAAGATATAATTTATTTCCCTTCTAGGACCTCAAATCTCCTGAATTCTGTTCATAGACCACTAAGGGCAACAGTTCTCAAAGTGCTATCTAAAAATCCTGAGCTTTTTCTAGATACTCTCAGTGGGTCCACAGAGTCAAAGCTACTTTTATAGTAATACTACAATGTTAATTGCTTTTTCACTTATTCTCCCTCAAGAATACAGAGAATTTTTCAGAGGCTACAGGACATGTGATGGCTCTATCACTCTGACAGTTAATGAGATGTGGGCTTGTGTATTCATGTGTTTTAAATTTTTCTCAATTTTAATTCCTAATTTGGCAAATATTAATAGATATACCCCCACAAAGCTCTCCAGTGTTCTCAATAATCTTTATGATAAAGGGGCCCAGAAACCAAAAAGTTTAAGAACCACTGCTCTGGGAGTCCAAAAGCCTCAAGTTAATAACCAAAAATGATACAGCATATTAAAATTCTTCCAAGTAGATAAATTTATGGCCACTGGCTCAGGCTACTTTCTGGTGCCAGGCCTGGGGCTTGTCTTCAGAAGAGGATACCACTTCCTTCTGGGAAAGTGAATTAGAGCAGGAAAAACACTGGTAATTGTTTTCTGTGAAAGTTCCATCTGGCTAAGCCCAAATTCTTCAAAGGAAGATAAATGTTCAAATCCCCGAAAATAATTTGTTCTACTCAGGACACTATTACTATGTAACTCTCTACTATAACACTATGTCAGACAGAGCATAAGATACCCACTGAACCCAAATTCTCATCCAGCCTGTCTCTCTTCTACTACCTCCATGGCAATACATGCAATGTGCTGTCATTATTCTCTACACCAAAGCACAATAGTGTCCCCTGCCTCTGGAAACAGAGTTTTTCAAAAGGCCATTGGGAATTTCCTTTGAATTTTATACAGACCTTCCCTCTCACTCTCATTCTATTTTATTTCCAATCTTTCCATAAAACATTTTTGTTATAACATACGCACAAAAGAAGGAAAGGAAAGGAAAGGGGCAAGGGAAAGGGAAGGAAAGAAAAGGGAGGGAGGGGAAGGGAGGAGAGGGAAAAGGAAAGAGGAAAGGAGAAAGAAAACAGAAGAGGGATGCCTGGATGGCTCCCTCAGCTGGGCATCTGCCTTTGACTCAGGTCCTGATCCCAGGGTCTTGGGATCAAGTCCTGCATTGGGCTCCTTGCTCAGCTGGGAGCCTGCTTCTCCTCTGTCTGCCGCTCCCCCCTGCTTGTGCTCCCTCTCTTTCTCTCTCTGATAAATAAAAATAAATAAAAAAAATTTTTTAAAAGAAAGGAAAGGGAAAAAGGGCATCTGGTTGGCATTCAAGTATGCAGCTCTTGATCTTGGGGTCATGGGTTTGAGCCCCACATTGGGTGCAGAGATTACTTAAAAAAAAAAAAGCCATTTTAGTATTCTACCTCAGTCAGGAGTGAAAAAGCAATAGAAGGCTTACAGGCGGAAGGCATGAAATCAGAGGACTTTTAAGAAGCAGGCATTGAAAAGAGTTTCCAGCATTAGGGAACAGAGTTGCTGTACTGGAAACCAGGATAAGTGACTAAGCTGGAAGAATAAATAAGTAAACTGGCAGGAGACCAGACTTCTTAGAAGAACTGAGTAGGGAACAAGGCAGGTCTTGAACCGCACCTAAATTTAGGCAGGTGCAGATAGACATAAAACAGAAAGATGTGATAATGAGAGAAAATAAGTTTTTTAAAACCAGAAAGAAAAGATACAATAAAAGCATTCTGCAGATATTTCACAGGGACAAACACCTCCATACAGTCTCAAGTCTCTGCATTGCTCAGTAGAATAACAATGGCCTTGAACCATTTAAAAAAAAAAATCACATTCAGTTTCCCCAAGTGCAAAAAAATTAAAAGAATTTAAGAGCTTATAGACATAAGCTTCCATTATTTTTCTACATTGATTTCTCTGATTTCCCATGTTCCTCAATGATGGCAGATAAAGAAGGCATAATTATACCCTATTTTCAGGGAAGACTCCCTCCCCTCCACAGGTCTATTTGAATAATTTTCATTTCTTCCTTATCATTATTAATTCAATGAAAACAGACTTCATTCCTATCTTTATCCCCTTGAGAACTTTTTATTTTACTTAGGTCACTTAGTAATAACATTGGTATATTAGATAATATGCAACAGGTAGTTGAATAAAACTGTACCCTTCAACCAGTCAAACACCACGCTATTAAAAAAATATAATAAAAATGGTAAATAAATTATGACCTGAAATAAGTTATGGTTACAAATGACTACAATTCAAAGCTGTCACAACTATAGAACTGGAATGATCAAATCTAAACACAGATAAAAAAAAAAAAAAAACACACAGTGTCAAATTATAAAAGTTCATTATATGCAGCCATGGTTTTCTGAGAAAGACAAACTTATAGCACTATTTTCAATAAATTTTATACCTTAAGTGGTATTATATTTAAGACTTTGAACAGAAACATTTGTAATTGGGGAGCAAAACTTCTTTATCAGATGGTTTGTTCCAATTATTGTTAACACATAATATGGAATTAGAACCTTTGCATTTTGACACCCCGACCTGTCCACTAAAATTGGACAAACCAAAGAGTAAAAAAAAAGTAACTTTTTAAAGCCACTTTATTGGCACAATCATGAGTTTTAAAGGCTCATTTTCTTTTCCTTATCACATACCATATTTTCTCCACACTTAATTAGAACCTTTGTGCTAATCTACAATTTTAGTAGATGTGCTAAAAGACATATAAAGTTACTCAACTATATATGATAGGCTCTATTAATAGACAAAAATTTGAATAATTGGAAATTCTTGCCTAAATAATTAATGTAACAGTAACTTCAGAATTATTTTTAAAATGAGTTGATTTTCAATAGATATTGACAAAAATCTTATCCAAAAAATATATTTCCTAATGAGACTTATATACAGTACTTTAACATCACACCAGAGTACTTTATTTCCAAACCAAGTTCTATTTCCTAAGAATAAATGAGGTATATATAAACCAAAGA